ATCGAACGGCGAAGCCGAACACAACTTATCCTGAACGGTGACATCGGCTCACTGAAGCCGATCCATCCGGGATATTACGGCGTCTTGCAGACAGCCACGCAGTGCGTCGTTAAGACGTAACCACCGCCGTTTCGCTAACCCGCAGGTCAACGAAATCCTGTCGAGAACGAGGTTAGGCTTAACCAGTCGTAATCGTTACACCCAAGTTGCTAACAATGGTCAAACATGAGACGTCAGGCTAGGGGCAATTTTGGGGCAAAAAACCCCTGTGAAACCCATGTTAGAATGACGTCAGCTGGTTCCTTTTGACCAATGCCGTTCCTGGGTATGGTTAGGGGATACCTTAGGGTCAATGTTGACCAGCCATACACCCCGATTCAGAAGTTTTATAACGTGGACTTATTAATCCTACGGGCAATTGAGGCCATTCTCAATTGGTTTCAAAATTTGGAAAATTAGCCAACCCCTATTATGAGATGTTTGAGGTGCAAGCACCTTGAAAGTTGATGTGAGGTGGCCAATACAAAAATGGCAATAAAATACTAGGACATGTGCCAAATGGCCTTATTTTTGCCACGAATTGTGGTGACCCTTCTGCGGTAAGGCTCCATTCTTGACACCTCAAATGGATTCTTCTTCCTTCCAATGGTGCTTTGTAAACACAATGGCTTGTTGTGTTTCCCCATCGGCTTTCGCCGGAAGAACCGTACTCGAAAGCCGGTGGCGTGCGTACAAAGTCACATGTCCGCCGCGCGAGTTTCGTTGATGATGGAAAAGCTTTGCATTTTAAATTCCAGGGGCCTCGTGTTAACCCCAATCCATTGGTAACGGACCGTTTTGCGAAGCACGCGAGTTTTGCCCATCAAAAAGTGGTCCATGCAAAAAAGTAACAGACTACGGCGGAGACAGAGGCGTCAAGAGGCCATGATCTGGCGCAAATGCTGGCGCATTAGTGGCCTAATTTATACTATATAGGGTTGTGCTCGATTTGGTCAGGTCAAAGGACACAACCCAATAATGTGTTAACCGTAACCCGGTGAAGTTGCCACGTCATCCGGGTTAGGTTACAAAACTTGTGAATCGGGGTGTAGTCCAAGGGTTTGGGTTTTTTGTATAAACCCACAGGGTTTTACCCAGTCAATACTTAAGCGTGACCATATGGTCACGCGTTACCATATGGTCACAGTTACGGTCCTAGTGTTAAGTTTTAGAGCAGACCGAAGGCGACTGGGGACTGCTGGCCCTGAGCCCTGGTGGATCAAGCTGCAAAGCAACAAAACACCAGCTCACAGGTACAGCTTCAGCTTCAACTTCAAGTTCGAGCGGAAATGTCTTCCCTTGGCCTTAGGAGCTGATACCGTAGCCAACTAGGCTTCAGTACGGTACCCGGCTCGTGTGTGTCTGTTTTAACTTTAGGAGTTTCAGGGGAGAATGCCTTCGCCTATGGGGTATGATATCGTGCAAGAAGCAAGAGTGCAAATGCAGGGCACGGGGTCCGCAGCTGCAGGTCCACCAATGAAGGTCGAGAACACGCAGGGCATGGAGGCAGAGCTTGAATCGGATGCACAAGCTGCCAGTGATCCATCACTGTGAGGTTCCAGCTTTCTTTGTTCAAATCCACAACTCCCTGTTTCTGTCCGGGGATTGCATCAACCCTGGATCATTCGGTTGTCTTAGTGAAAAGCTTTCAAAATGCGATTGAACCAGCTCCATTGCAGCTTCTGCTTCATCAGCAATCAATGAGCCACATCAAACAAGTAGAAGCCATTATGAGCATTTCATCGTCGGCTGGTGGATTGCCTCCGGATCTTGATATGTTCTCCTGATTACTTGCTCCTAACCTTAATCAAGATGTTCTTAGAGATTCAATCGACAAAATGACGTCTTTGTTCATGTGAACCAAGATGTCAAAGAGAATCTCATTAGCTTCCTATCTCCCAGGGATGTGAAGGAGCCCAGCCGCCGCAGGAGAGTGCCCAAAAGGGCATTTGGGGAAGAGGATCAAAAGGCTGTCGAGGAATTCCTGATGGAGGAGGAGGGATCTACAAAGAAGAAGCGTCGACGGCGGTCATTGCAGGAGGTAAGCAGAGTGTATTTGCGTGCTTACAAGAGAGGATCTTGAAGATTTAAATGATGATCCTTGATGCTTGAGCGATTTGATAGCTAGCCAGAAAGAGATACGTTCTAATTTTTGGTCCAGCCTTTAGGAGTGCAGTACTTGCTTAGACCATCCACAGCTTTCTGCCCCATCGAATCATCTCGCCCCACAATCTCATCACATCACCATGCCGCCTAGCTTGGAGGTCTCTCCATTCTGCTGATAACCACGCTTGACAAAATCTTGTAGCATCATACACCATTGGTTCTAGAGGATTCTTGATGCAGAGCCAAATGACCCGGTCTCTTTCTGCAGGACGACCACATGGAAGCCATAATAGCAGCCGGCATGGGTTTCCCAAACAACTACCTAACTGAAGAAGAGATTCGTGCTGGAGTGGTGGGGTCGCTAGGGGGCATCGAGCAGGCAAACTACATCGTCATCCGAAACCACATCTTGGCAAAGTGAGGAGACAGTGCGGAATCCCAGTACACTTGTTTGAGATCGAGAGGTGATAATTAAGTTGAGTTCTCGGAGCTTACTTTTGTGACAAGGCATTTATGCTTTGAAGTATATCACTGCTGACGTGACCCCAGGCCTGGACTTCCGAGCAACAGCAGAGTCTGGTCTTGTGAATGGCCAAAAGCAAACGGACTGTCCACTGAAATGAAGAAAAGACAATCGAAACAGGGGAAAACAGCATTTAGATTCCTCGGCTTTGAGCCCTGAATCACCTTCCAGATATCAACTCGAATTACTCCTCTGCGAACCGCTGCACATTTCGATTATTTCGCTGACTCTCGTAACTTTCTGTGCCATTCGTCTTTGGCCATCGATCCATTATAAAAGTCAAAAATTCTGTCTTACAGAGTCCATTGATCACGTCAGCCAACCCTTCATCCCCCGCAGGTGGCGCCAGAACGTCGACAAGTGGCTGCACGAGAGCGCCATCCTCGAGAACATCCGCAACGAACACAAGCCCCTCGTGCGCGCTGCGTACCGCTTCCTCTCTCAGGCGGGGTACATCAACTTTGGCGTGGCCCCGGCCATCAAGGAACGCGTTCGCACCGACGGTTCCAAGGCGACTATGATTGTCATCGGGGCTGGGCTTGCCGGGTTGGCGGCAGCTCGGCAGCTGCTGGCGTTTGGTCACAAGGTGAGGACGAAAGTCATTATGGAGCAGAATACTCGGTCATTTGCACCCGGATACAAATGTTCACTCCTCGTGTCTCTCCTCTTCGTCCGCCCCTTCCTCGTGTCCCTTCGCTTCTACTCTCCTGCTGAAGAACTTGCTAATCTTCCGTTTCGAGCGGAAAGGTTCAGGCTTGACCCTTTTTTTTCATAAGATGAAAGCGCTTTGTCTTTTACAGTATACCCTTAAGTACGTACAGGATTCAGCTAGAGCAATGGTGTATCCAGCTTACTTATTTCGGATAAGGATGGCTGTGGACGCAAGCAATGTGAGGTGATACAAAACCTGACGCCCCTCTTCTCCCCCCCAGGTAATCGTCCTTGAGGGCCGTGCCCGTCCCGGCGGGCGCGTTCACACCCGCCAGATGGACGCCGGTGGCCACTCCGCTTCTGCAGACCTTGGCGGGAGTGTGATAACAGGCACTGACGGGAACCCTCTCGGCGTGTTGGCCCGCCAATTAAAGCTTCCGATGCACCATATCCGGTCGGACCCGTGTCCGATATATGGTCTGGACGGGCAGAGAGTTGACGAAGAGTTGGATAAGCGGGTGGAGGCGGACTTCAATACGCTGTTGGATAAGGCGGAGGAGACGCGCAAGGCGATGGCCACGGTGGCAGACAGGTGAGCGGGCTGGCCCATAAGTTGTCGGTGTTTGCTGAAGGCCAAAGATTATGGCGTATTTCACGCACCATGTCGGTACAGATCTCTCAAAGAGGAGGTTTGTCAAAAGGTGTGAAAAGCAGGGAGTACGTGCGCCGTTTCTATTTCACAATCAGTCGCCAAACTTTTGCTCCTTGCAAGCGGACAAGGCTTGCGTCGGGTCTGATCGATTTCTTCGTACCGCCATTCTGTTTGGATCTCTTTCCAGCTCCTCCCCGACTGGGTTGAAGACGATTTTTTGTTCGGTCGAAGGGTCAGAACGGTTGTGAAGCTGACCAACTATACCCCTTTGGAAGAGGAGACTGGATTTCAGAAAACAAGAGGGTCATGAAGCAAACCCTTGTCATGATCCTGTACAGCATCAGCCTGGGCTCGACCCTGGACACGCTGCGGCGGTCGTACCGCGTGGCGCAGTCGGAGGAGGAGCGGCAGCTGCTGGACTGGCACGTGGCGAACCTGGAGTACGCCAATGCGGGCCTGCTGCACGACCTCAGCCTCGCCTTCTGGGACCAGGTACGAGCCTCAGCTTGTAGTTTGTCCTCCTCATCTTCGAATTTGAGCTCTCTTTTCGAATTTCTGGCTCTGGCGAGCCTCTGAGAAATTTAGGTTCTTTTTTTGACAATTCAGTTGTTTGTTTTCAGCCGTTTCGTGTTCTTTCGTTCTAATGGGGCTCACGATGGGGCAGTGCAGTTACTTTTCTCAGACCATGGCCGGCTTTTGTAACTGTCGCTAACAGCGGTGCTGCTTCCTACACATTTCGAAGACTGCGGGTTTTCTTCGAGAGTATGATGACGACGCTTCCGTTTGAAAGCTGAGCCGTCTAGATGATTCGCACTTCACCTGAGTAGCTACACCTCCATGCTTCTTAACCAGATGCCCCTCTGCTTTTGTTGGAAACTTCGTTGTTCCAACGGCTTGACACTCCAACGCCCTAGACCTTAAACCTTGGATCCCGCCAGAGCATACCATACAAGAGTCCAAGATTTCACTCCAAAACGACTCAACCCCTAAACCTGGTGAATTCTTTCTTAGGATGACCCCCACGAGATGGCCGGCGACCACTGCTTCCTGACCGGCGGCAATGGTCGCCTGGTGTCCGCCCTCGCGGACGGCCTGCCCATCTTCTACGGCCGGACCGTTCGGACAGTCCGCTACTCAGACGCCGGCGTCCGGGTGCACACTGCGGACGGGCAGGTCTTCGAGGGTGACATGGCGCTGTCCACGATTCCGCTCGGGGTGAGTCTACCGGGCCCTATGCCCTGGTCGTTCGGATCTCAAGTGATGATTCTTGGATCCAAGACTTGGGACTCTTATATCCGGAAGAGGAAGCCCCGAAAGAAGATTTCAGGTATGCGTCTAGAGATAGAGAAAGTGCTCGCCGGAACACCAGCTCTGGTCGATTCCCCGTATAGTAAGTAAGATCAGCGGAACATCCTGTGATCCACCTTCTCAATCTATCTTTTCGCCTGAACTTGATAGAAAGCCGTCTGCAACATGCGGCACGCTCAGAAAGCTGTTGCTTTGGACCAATGTGGGACGACTGTGCCGGATGGATACCTCCCCATCTATCAGATTGAGCACCGGATCGTCAGTGTTGAAGGACTCATGTCCTTTCGAGTTCGACCCCACGACTGCCAAAGTATCACGATCACGAGAAACACGGAAGCTGACGTCCTCCCTGCAGTGCCTCAAGCGGGGTGACGTCACCTTCGACCCGCCCCTCCCCAAGGAGAAGGATGCCGCGATCCGGCGGCTGGGCTTCGGGCTGCTGAACAAGGTGGCGCTGCTATTTCCGCACAACTTCTGGGGCACCGATCTTGACACCTTCGGCCGGGTTGCACCGGACGCGCACCGCCGGGGGGAGTACTTCCTCTTCTACAGGTGAGCTACTGTTGGTCAAGCTAACTTTGGAGTTCGAAATCTGGACCATGTATAGGATCTTCATGTATCTGCCGGATGTTCCATCACGTTGTTCGGCGGAAGTCGGAAGCTGCTGACGACATCGCAACTTCTCCTCCGAAAATCCTCTTAGCAGAGCCTCCCTCGCCCCCGACATTTCCTTAGCCGGGGTGATTCACTCCGAAAATGAAACGAGGCGCATCCGCTTGATACTGTCGACTTATCAGAATGTCGACTGAGAGACTGTCTCCCGGAGTGTGAAGAGAATGAGGTGGCGTTAAACTAATCAAAGCAGTAACCAGCAACCTTGACCTTCCGTCACACTTTAATCAAGCTTTTATCCCTTGAATCCAGAAATGCAAACCTCTGTTTCTCGCTCGCAGTTACGCGGCCGTCTCGGGCGGCGCCCTGCTCCTCGCGCTGGTCGCCGGCGAGGCCGCGCGGCGCTTCGAGAAGGTCCCCGGCGCTGACGTCATCGCTGAGGTCATGGCCATCCTGCGGTCGATTTACGAACCCCAGGGCATCCTCGTGCCCAACCCGCTCAGTACGCTATGCACCCGCTGGGGCAGCGACCCGTTCGCTTATGGGTCGTATAGCCACGTGGCCGTCGGGGCGTCGGGGGACGACTATGACGTCATGGCTGAGAGCTGCGGGAACGGGCGGCTGTTCTTTGCGGGGGAGGCGACGACGCGTTGGCACCCGGCCACGATGCACGGGGCGTTCCTCACAGGTAGGGGTGTGCGCGGCGCGTTGGGGAAGATGAAAGGTTTGGGTTGGAGGAAGGAACGGAATTCCTTTGATCAGGGCGGCCAGTGCTGCTGACGCAACTGCACGTGATGATGATGGTCCCACCATGCCTGAATTGGGACGTACAGTCCACTTTGTTTCTGTCATTGAAAACCGACGGTATATGCTGCTTACTGCAGTGCGTATCCGTTCGATCTGAGAGCATTGATCGAACACAGGAGGATGGACCCATATTCCTGCCGTTTTCAATTCTTCGCATAGAGTTGACCTCTAATCTGGTTTTTTTGGGCTTTCGCTTAAATGGGAAGTTTTAGTACTTTACTTTACTTTACTGGCCTCATCAGGTCAATGAGGTGGTAACCAGGGTCAGCAAATCCAAAAAGTTGAAAGATGCATTTTTAACGGCGTTAACCAGGACCAGCGAAACCAGAAACTTGGAAAATACTCGTTCAAAGCGGGATTGTGCTCCGCAGGTCTCCGCGAGGCAGGCTGGATGGACGCGACTGCCACCGCGCGCGCGCAGGGCCAGCCAGTGCCCGTCCAGATTGCGCCCTCCAGCCTGTCGCTCCAGGCGGTCACGCTCGCCGAGGTGTTCCGGAAGCCCGACATGGAGTTCGGCGGCTTCTCTGTCGTGCTTGACCCCAGGTGCGAATCAGAGCTCTGCTTTGTTTGGAGCTGAGACCCGTTGAGACGTGAAGAAAAAGAAGTTCAGGGCTTCGTTGCTGCTGGCAGGATTGGGGGCTGAGACGCGGCCTCTTGAATACATGTGAGGGTTTATGGACCGGCTCATCTTCGTTGTCATTATTTTGGAACCTCGTCGTTATGGTAAGGTTACATCTGCTGCATCCGCCTTCCTCCCTTTGATACGCAACGCACTTACCCTTTCAGAAACCTCATAAGAGCGCTCTTGCTCTCCATAATCGTGCCGATCCTCTCCAAAGCTGTCGCCAAGCTTGTCTTCAACCTTTTTCCATTATCTTTTCCCCTTTGTCACTCTCATCATCCGCAAAGTACCTTTAAAAAGCCCAACGCCCCTCTTTCGTCCTTTACCCCAGCCAAGAATCTCTTTAATACGTGAGCCCTGACTCGTCGCTATCCTATTAGACCTGACCCTCCAATCCTGGCAAAAGCACATTCCCGTCCGGCCTCGCCCTTCTTGGTTTAGACCTATGGTTTAGGTAGGATAGTCCCAGGTAGATTATGGTTATGGCCCGGCGAACGGGTGGGGTTAGGGTGGGTACGGGTGCGGAGCGGGTGTATCTGTCGGTTTGGGCTTTTAATTTTGTTTTCCCTGGGGACTGTTACTATCGTACAGAGAAACTATCCTACCTAAGTTATGGGAGTATCTTCTTGGGCGCGGGGCCCTCCTTCACTATTCCCTTTGCAGCCTTGCATTTCAGTGGCCCTACCTCTAAAATGCAGAACGCCCCTGTACCTACTTTTCCTCCCGCCAGGACCTCCCTCACATGCGTAACCAACCCGTTTCCTAACCCTTGCGTTTCTGCCACCCCCAGGAGCTCTTCTTCATCCGCCCCCGCCCTCTTGCGCCTGATTCTGCGCAGCCCCCAGTCCCTTACAAAGCCTCTCAAGCCGCCCCAAGACACCGAAGCAGAACCCAAAACCACCGCCAAAACCACCTCCAGCCATCCCAATGGTAACGGTGCTGCAGCGCCGAAGGCTGCTGTCTCCGCAAACCCAGCGGTTAGCCAAACCCTTGGGAACCTCCCCAACGCTTCCCGTTTCAGAGTACCAGACGGTCTTGCGCCCGGTGCTGCTCCAGGGGTAAGCCCAGAGTTGGATCAGGCAGCGGAAAGACTTTCGGAAGCCAGGCAAGATACGGGGAGGGGGGCCGCAGTTGCTCAAGGGACGGGCCCGGTTGTCACCCCCCTGCCGGGAACACGCGAAACTTTCCCGGGGTCTGAATCGTTGAAAGAGCCGGACCGAGGAGATGGGATACGGACGGGGAGCAGCGAGATAGCCGGAAATGTGAATGGACTTTCGGGTGCGAACGGATTCCACGCGTATGGGCGTATGAGAGCTTTTGCGCAAGCGGTTGGAAGCGGGTTGGGCTCGGCAAATGCCGAATCAGGTCTGGCAACAAGCAGCCCAAAACCGGCTGGGTTAGGGCTCGGACCTTTGGGGTTAGAATCCGAACCCTTTTCCCAGGGGAACAACGGCATTGGGGGGGAGCCCAATCGGACTAGTTTCGTTGCGAGCAGCGTTGCGCCTGTGGAAAACGGTGCCGGTTTCGGCGACGAAGAGAGACGCCCCGACAACACTATGACGAAGCTCTTCTCGTTCCTGAAGACCGAAGCGTTGAAAGTGTCCCCCAGAACCCCCCCGCCAGTTGGCGCATTCCCAGTCAGCGGAATTCCGGTCAGCGGAATACCGGCCAACGGAATACCGGCCGCTCCTCCGGGCGGAACAGTCAGACCGGCCAGCGCTCTCAGGGTCGAGCCGACGGATGCGCGAACGGAAAGCCATTCTCAGGCGAGCGACACCGGACGGGCAGCTCAAACAGCTGTCTCAAGTCACGGTGTGAACACGCTTTCAATGCCCAGGCCTGAACCGAGGTTCCTCGGGGCCGCTGTGCCGGTTCACATTAGTGCAAATAGCGGCATGCCAGGGGCGGGAACTGGCGGTGAGAATGTGCCCGGGGCGTGTCGACTTCTTCCTTTTGCTTCTGCTCGCCCGATGCCCGTCCAAAGTCCGCAACTGGACGTCCGAAATACGCCTTTGGAAAGTCCGGCAAGTCGGATACTGAATCCTGCCATTCCAAGCTCTTCAAACGGTCCACAGACGATGAACGGCCCCGCTTTGCCTGTCTCTACGGGCGCCCAAACGGGAACCGCTGCGGGGTTGGTACAGAACCGGACTTCTCACATTGCCAGTGCCCCGGTTACCAGACCCGCCGTCGAAAACTTGGCAGATGCAAGGCCGGAGAGTACTTCGGTGGGAGCAGGGGAGAAAGGCGGCACGAGTCCAGGGAGTCAGCCGTCCGATCTGGTCGACGACAAATCGACGGTCTTAAAAGTCCCGGCCGCAAATGGAGACGCCAAGGGGGGGTCCAAGAAGAAGCCGGCGCAAGTCGCGGGAGCGGCAGGGGGGAGGAAGAAGCGGCGGCGCGCCGCCCCGACGGACGCATTTACACCGCCCCAGAAGGAGCTGGCGGTGTATACGGTGGTAACGCGGGGCCAGGCGGAGCAGCTGAGGGAGGTCAAGGGGGGGGACCGGGCGCGGCTGCAGGTGCGTAGAGGGATCCCTCGAGTTTTGCCCTCTTTCATGGAATGCCTTTATGGAATTTATAATTTTTCGACGTGTTATGGCAATACTTAGGAGTATAGCCCGGGTTCTGGACGCTGTTTTCGACTTCAACGTCAACGTGAATTGCTTGAGACTTTGTGTCGTTGAAAAGGACTGCCTTGTCGTGACTGCATTCTTGGCGAACCTTCTCTTAGCTTTGTCAGCTAGAGCAGGCACTCGTTAAAACGGCGCGCATTGACACCAGTTGATTTTCTACATCTTGACAGACCCTAGTCGACACATTCGGTGTCAAGTTGGTGGGCCGGCACGGGCTGGGCTCTGCGGGCGAGGCGCTGCTGGCGGCGCTCAATGGGCCCCACCTGGTGGCCGGTGGGCTGCTGCCACGTGGCCAAGCTGACATTATGAAGCGTATGAACAAGGCCAAAGAAGTCACGGAGGGCAACGGCGTTCGGCAACAAGTGCGGCCCCGGCAAAGCAGGCCACAAGCGGAGCCGGAACGAGAGGGGATTGCAAAATCGGAGCCACGTGTCCTAAAAGCAGCAGTACGAACCACCGTGACAGCGTCGGTTAGCCTCAGCAAGCCAAAACCTGAGCCCGCAAGTTCTTAGCACGGGATGTTTTATTGACCTAGCTTCTGCCTTGGCGAATCATAAAGAAGGTCTACGCAAACTTCGATTGTCCTCATTAGTTGGCAGATCCCAGGCCTCGATGTTGAAGATCTCCGTAAGTAGAGGTAGCAGGATAGGGGATTGTACGCTGCGGGAGCTCAACACTTGAGAGAGGAATGAGACTTGCCACGGGGTTTCCGAGATTTGACGATTCTCGGAGTTTCCACATCGATTTTCACACTCTGTTAAGTGTTGAGCTTCCATTGCGTACAATCCTCTAGTCCAGCCGTTTCGTCTCTTTTCCGGACTTGCAAGGTTTCGAGCATTGAGGGGTCGAGACTCGCCCATGCAGTGAGCACGTTACAGTGGCTTCTATATGGCAAACTCAATTTCATCAAAAGGGTTGTAAGAGCCAGGGACTTTTACAGACTTGAGCATGCAAGTTTGACTACGGTATCATGGCATGCGTATAGGTATTATTTAACATGGTTTCACAGAGAGTGGCTGCGGGCGGCCGTGCTCAGTGCATGAGTTGATCGACCGGGCTGCGCACATGATCTTGCTGAATTATAACCAGGCCGGGCCGCTCAACCGTGCACATGCCTTTTCAATACATATGCTGCACCCTTCCGAATCCCTAGCGCCACTGTTTCGCTACACCCTCGTCATTGGGCATGTCAGTGCACCATTGGCTGCAAACCGGCATGCATGCGCAACTTGCACTGCGCCATGCACAAAAAGCAGGTGCATCCGGGTGTATGTGCAATGCTAAGCAACATGTTGCATACCATTTGATGGAACAGTCAGCACATGCCATATCACTATACCGTACACAAGCAAGAGAAGGATATCCGGTGTGCAACTCAATGTGTTTGTAGCTGGCCCTCGAGAAGCCCGAGTATTGTACCCCCATGTACCCTCTCGTGCAGAGCCCGCTGCACGGCTTCCCCTTTCTGTTCCAGAGTCCAGTCTTCCGTGCCATTCTGATCTGCAAGGAGGAGAACAAAGTCAACTCCTGCCAAAAGCAGAAATCTCAGTGGACTGCCTTAGGGTGTCGTTCCACGAGCGGTGGTGGAAGTCAGCAAAATAAATAAAAGATGTGGCTCTGAAGTGGCCGGAATTTGCCTGGAAGTTCAATATATTACCAATTTCCGGCCGCTCGTGGAATAGCTCGCCGGTGGAAGTTGCATTTAAAAAATGCGCACTTACTGCTTAATCCGACATGGCGTCGTCTCATTCGCTGATAGGGTGCCACGTCCCGGCACAGAAAAATGTTTTTGTTCGACCCTACAAATACTCGGGTCGAGTTTTAATAAAAGTTGTGCCGCCGACGTGGCATTTATTTGCCCGGAAGTCCGCCCGTTGACCGACGGCAGAAACAATTCGGGCCAATCAGGGAATTTATATTTCTACTTCCACCGCTCGTGGAACGACACCCTTACACATTGGCACCAGCACCAAGCATTTGTAGCGCAAATGCAGACTCACAGCATGCTCTCGACTTCAAATTGACCCCAGAACGACGTGTGCAATACTAGCTCAACATACGGGTTGCTCACAAACCGCCAGAGTAGTCCAATCGCCCAACGTATTTCCCCTCGGACTGGACCGAGGAGAGAGTCGCTGCAACAAGGAGATCATGCAGCAAACCTCCAGTGACTGCGCCCTACCGGTCAAACTTCACCCCCCTACTCTTTGCTGACGTCACCACACACAAAACAAGCGCTGCTGACGTCATCCGGAGCTCACCCCGCAGGAGCGCCTCCCACGCGGCCCGCGCAGCGCCGTGCTCTGCGCTCTTCTTCAGCTTCTCGTACGGCCCTTTCACCGCCAAACCGCCCACCGAAACCGTCGCGCTGTGCAGCGGCTCGTGGACCAGCCCCTCCGTTTCCAGCGAGTACTCCGGAATTGGACACCTGGCGCGCACGCACGCGGTTTGCAGGAGGCCCTTGTAGTCTTGGAAGCCCGGCTGCAGAGAAGGACGGACACGTCGCAGGCTCAGCCGTCTCGAAGATGCGGAGGAGGAGCCCAGATTCGTTTTTGGGAAGGTCCACGAGTCGGGATGACTTTCTCAACAAGCCTGGGACTTCTAGCACAGAAAAATTCCTGTCCAGAACTGTGAACAAGCACAGACGGCACACGCCAGTGGTTATAAGAAGAGAAGCAAAATGCCCGTTGAAGCCAGGACTGAATATTCACAGCGAACTTCTGCTCTTAGTACCTTTTCGTTACTGTGATCAACGGCGGATGACGGAATAGAATCCTTAAGCCACTTCCCAGGGTCCCTCAATAAGGACCCCAGAACACGAGCCGTTCTGGAGGTTCTCTAAGAGCGTCAACTCAAGCCTTTGTTTGGACCGGAGCACGGTTCGATGGCGCCTCCGGGAGTCTCAGCACAACCACTTCCATCGAACAAGCAGGATTTGCAACTCGAAAAACACCGGTTTGGCAAGTATACCTAGCGGCGTCTGATACGCGCGCGGCCCGTCTTGCAAACATGAAGCCCACCTTGAAACTTGTGCGACAGATCAACAGGCCTTGACATCCAAACCCCGCCCTCACCGGCCACCTTGGTGCGCGGTCCTTGTGTGGCAGCGGGTTCTTGAGCGTAATCGGCATGCCGGACCGCAAGTGTTCAAGAATCTCCACCCAATGAAGTCAAAATCACGAAATCTAACTAACAAACTCTACTGAACGCATCCTAACCAACAAAGTCTGACCCCGCCCTCACCGGCCACCTCGGCGCGCGGTCCTTGGGCGGCCGCGGCTTCTTGGGCGGGATCGGCACGCCGGACAGCTTCCGGTCCGCGTCGGGGCTCGGACGCACAAGCACCGTCCGACCCTCGCGCTTCATCACTCGCACCCCGTACTTGCACGCGTTGTACGCGTCCCGTTCCGTTGACCGGTCCCGGCGTTGCAGCCAGGAGGGGTCGAGCGTTACGCCCTCCACGTCCCTGGCAGCGAGAAGCTTAGAAGATTTGGTTTTGGGGCAGATTGTGAAATGGGATTTGTAAGCTTTAGGAGGGTCATTGCATGCTCCCGGTTCCGTCGACCGGGCCCAGGGTTGCAGCCAGGCGGGGTCAAGCGCCACGCCCTCCACGTCTCTGGCAGAGGGAAGCTTAGAGGATTTCGGTTTGGGGCAGACTCCCTGATTTGGATACTTAGGCTTTAGGAGGGCTGTTGTATTGGACTAATTGTATTCAATTCTCGGGGTAGTCTAGCCACGCCGGGGGTCGAGCGCTAACCCCTCACGTCCCTAGGCCGATCGGGAGACGTTAGA